AGCATAGACTCACGGACATTAAATAGCGCGACGATATGACAGCGACAGAGCCCTGACCACACAATGGAATGGCTTCCCATCATTAGCTATCGTAATAATGACGGTAGGTGCGCAACAGTTGTCACGAAAATATAAGAAGTTTTGTAACATCCCGAAGAAAAGGGGTAACTCCGCCTTCACTCTATACCAACCGAAGCTGCAGGCTGCAGACAAAGCTTGCATTGTGCGATACTTCATGTCGTCGGCGTGCTCTGCTATACAGACTTATATCCACTGTGCAGTAGTGTCCGATGTACTATGCACTTTCGAGTGCAGCGTTCAACCCCTGCCGTGGCACGTGCAGACGTCACCCGTATTGGACTCGCTGAGTGCCAAGGAAGTCGACAGGCCTGGGAGTGGCCGGAGGCGCCCGGCAGTCACCACCCCCGGGCGGCACCACTGGGCATAATGACGTCACGGTGGGTGACCGCCCCTCCCCTCCCTCCTACCCCTCCCCGTACCCACGGTCTGGGGAAGGAGGGTCGGTGGACGGGGCAGCCAGCCGCTCCGCTCTACCGTCTCAGATATACATGACTGCTGATGGATGTGCCGACACATACTGATGGTGAATTATAGCCACGTTCTGCATGCGCGACTGCGATGGAGGCAGGAATTATTTCGTCGATTTACATAACTGTGTTACAACGGTTTACAAGGCAACCACTACTTACTTATTAATTATTATTAATCGCTTGGCAGTGCGATGCTATCAACCACCAGAACCACGGAAGTGCGAGGATAAGAAGTGCAAGCATTGGTACAATAGCATGTAACTAATTTGATGATAATATTTGAAGTGCAGGCAAGGTGCTGAAATGCGTGAGACGACTGGTCGCGAGCTATGCACGAATACCTATACCTTCTTCGAGCTAGCGCTTGAAATCAGAAGAAACCGATACGAATCCAAGCTGAAAAGTTAACACGATAAGACGATCTGCTTCAAACCGCGAAATGGAAAATAACGCCTCCACTCGCGGCTGGAACCAGTCGGTGCTCTGCTGGACTAACTGGTGTCGGTTTGGGTACAAAAACTGCGGCGGCGGCAGCCGACAGTGGCGTGGGCGGCGGCTGCCGCCGGCGCTGGCTGACCGTTTTCCCACAGCGGCGGAGGCGCTGTTTGGGTAAACCACCCGTCCGACTGCCGGGCGAATGGGAAACATGCCACGGACCGACCCAGATCAGACTCAAACCGACGGTACCGACGGTACCGACCGCCGGTAAATGATCAGCTCACTGAGGCTGAGCTTGGCTAAATGACCTCAGCAGGACAGCGCACTGAGCCTGGCCGATAGCTCAATCGGCTCAGCTGATAGCTCAGCTGTACAGCTCACTCTAGCTCAGCTGGAAACTCACTGAACTCAGCTGGACAGCTCACCGATCCAGCCCAGCCACTTCACGAGCTCATCGTCCCCTCCTGCACAGCGCACCGTACCTTCACCGATACCTTATATTCTGCACTCAGTCGCCCATCTGACCTCTCTCCACATTATGACATTACTCGTCTGTGCTGGCTCGATTGCTATGTTGACTATTGGTGTCAACATGACGATCGTCACGACGATTTCCAATTGTCTTTCATATGTAGGTGGCACGTGAATAAGACCGATGACACTGCAGTTTGCATGTACTGCTGACATGTCGAATGTGAACCAGCGACCACTGACAATGGGAAGCAATCGGACAGCGGTGTCAGGCGCGTCGTCACCGATTTCTACCACATGTCGTTCGGTATCAACAGACCACAGCTGGAGGTTTGGAGAGTTGATAGTGCAGGGTACTGGACCAGAGGCCAGTTTTACCAACAGAAAAATAGCCGCCCGCGAAATTTTTTGCCTTAAGACCACTTCACATATGGAGCGTAAATGGTAAAGCCCTATCCACTTACGTACCCATCGTGTTTACGCTCCGTATGAGAAGCGGTCTTTTGGCAAAAAATTCCAGCAGGCGGCTATTTTTCTGTTGGTAAAACTAGCCTCTGGTCTGGTGCTGCTGCTGCTGTCTCATGTCTATCCATGTAGGCGCTGATGTTGCTGATATCTGATATCTATCTGTGGGTGCTGATGCCGGTACTATAAAAGTCAGCACCGGTACCGGACCGGTCACTGACGTCTCGTTACGCTCCACTGCACACGGGGTGCGTCCGGTCACGCTCCTCCCTCCAATACCCTCCAGTCGGGAACGGTGACGGTTGTACTGGATGACGCGTGCCATCCACCACCCACTGAGACAAAGACACACCCATGAGCTTTGCCGTCTAGCACCGACCTCGGACCAATGCAAATATACATATAACGTTCTTCTCCATCGCTTCACTCGCTAAGGCTTGACGGCTCTTCAAAGCTATAGCATTACATAACTCAATGCACGGAAGCAGTTTTGCAGTCTTGTCACTCACCGCAGTCACACAACTCTCACTACCAGTCTAACTGGTCATCTCTGGTCGGGACTATCTGCCCATCTGACCGACTGATCAGCGTTGACTTTCTATTCCACTTCCTTAGCTGATCTGACTCTATCTCAGGCAGCAGACCTACCGGCGACGCCAGGCTTCAGACTAATTTTAGACGGACCGCAAGACGACATAAAGAGACGGGTGGAGGGAGAGAGAAAAAGAGAGAAAAAGAGAGAAAGAGAGAGAGAGAGAGAGAGAGAGAGAGAGAGAGAGAGAGAGAGAGAGAGAGAGAGAGAGAGAGAGAGAGAGAGAGAGAGAGAGAGAGAGAGAGAGAGAGAGAGAGAGAGAGAGAGAGAGAGAAGCATGGCTTCAAAGGGTGATGAGCGCGGATACAAAATCATGCCAAGCTGACGAATGAAAGACTGTTGTGCTCGGATGCAGAAAGACATTAAAACTAATGCATATATGGAGCGAATAATGCGAAACGGACGAAACCGAATGGAATTGGGCAGAAATGAACGCCCGTAATGGCTGTCTGTCCGAAGGATGAGAGGGCCACAAAGATGAAAAGAAATGCAACAGTTGGGGCGAGAGCAAGATCACCGGATAGTTTTCACCAGCCATCTGTTGGAAAACAGAGCGCAGCCGTGGTCAGTGGCGCTGCCCCGTTCCGAGATTGATCGTTCATGCGCGGCCACCACAGGTGTTTTCTGTAGCTGTGAGCTGTGTATAGCGGCGGCTAAATATGGGCCTTCTCTCCTATCACTTACCGCCCACCTGGGGCGAGCGCGGCGATACAAGAGAGAGAGAGAGAGAGAGAGAGAGAGAGAGAGAGAGAGAGAGAGAGAGAGAGAGAGAGAGAGAGAGAGAGAGAGAAGAGAGAGAGAGAGAGAGAGAAGAGAGAGAGAGAGAGAGAGAGAGAGAGAGAGAGAGAGAGAGAGAGAGAGAGAGAGAGAGATGTGGCGAAGTAAGAGGAAAGGTGAGGATCTCCGACTTGGAGAGAGCGGGAGGGGAGAAACACGAATAAAAGCAAAGGCGAAGACGTTTGTATAGTTCGTTCGCAAATCGATAATCGATATCTATATTCTCCTACAAATCAGCCGATCTCAAGACATTTGTTGTGGTTGGCCGAAGCATACTTTTACTGTGCCTATGTGCTAACGATAAGAAAAACTGATATCCTATGCGATTAACAGCCCGTTCATCGAGACCTCATCTCATTCGATTATATCAGAGCAAATCAAGCACGAGTGAGTCTGGGTATTGCTCTGATGACATTGAATCGGTTTTTAGTAAATCAGAGGCGCCCGCACATCTCTCAGACCCATATAGGAGACCGTTCGGCGCTGTGAACTCACAGCCGCGGAGTTCCGGCTGTACCACACCGGCACCCGTCCCCTCCCTCCCCCTCCTCTCCCACCCACATCCGGTCCTTCGGCGGCTCCTACGTCAGCCCGCGGACAGCTCCGGTGGGTAATCGCAGCCGCCGCGCGAGACCGGCGGATAGCTGCGGGTAGGTAATCGCAGCCGCCGCGCGCGACCGCACGGCCAGTTGGGCTCCAATGAGGCCTGGCTCCTCCAGCCGGGGGCCTGCTGTGGGTCCTCAATGGAGAGACAGGCTCCGCGGGCCGGTCACTTCCCTCGCCCGACCCCGTCCGGTCGTCTTCCCTCGCTGGACTTGCCATCATCGGTGCAGTATGCATATGCGGCCGGTCTGTATATTTTAAATTTGTTACAAATATACCTTTTACATACAAATACACCGAAGCTCAGCGACCATTACAAAGTTTCATTCCGTCGTTCTTTCTGCTGGCCAGCAGCCGTCGCCGCCGCGGTGGCGGGCTAAATAACTGTTTCTGACGGCGTTATCGGTCCGCTAAATCAGTTGGCTTCCTCTGCAGCCGACCGAGACGGATCGGAGTGCCGTCGATCTCCACAACTCCGGCCATGGCTGCCGTCGACCTCCTGCAGTCATTGCAACCGAGCACAACCGACCTCTGTCCATTGTATCCGTCTGGCTACTGCGACCAACCACGACCATCAACGGGTTCACGGGCTCAGTATTCATAGTCCGGTCATTCCCAGATATCAACAATGACTGATCTCCAGTCATTGTTGTCGAGTATGGTGACCTCTAGTCATTGTTACCAAGAAAGCATGGCCAAACTCTGGTCAGTCCGTCCGCTGTACAATCAGTTGTCATAGACAGCGGCTCGGTTTGTCGACGGCAACAGTATGAGGCATGTCTGAGTACTGTGGTGGCTGCCATTATGTCACTTCCTCAGTGTTCATGCTTTATCCAACAGCAAATGTGGTGATCATACGCGGGAATTGTGATGCAAAGCTAGTCATATGTCGGGGCTTATCGCAATCAGATGACACATTTACATGAAAATGTACATATGTATACCATGCTTTAGATATGTCAGAACGAGGATGGATGGAACTGATCTGACCTGACCTGGTGTCGCCTGACCCTCGCCGTGTCTGTGTTCCAGCCCCATCTGAGCGAGAGAGTTTGACCTAACCTGACTTGACCTGACCTGACCTGCCCTTGTCTGTGTTCCAGCCCCGACCGAACGAGGCTGGCGGGATGTACGGCCGCGGCGAGATCGTGCGCACTTACGCCGCCGGCTCATCAATCCCCGTAGGCGTCGAACTCACTGCCAACCACAAGGGCTACTTCGAGATGCGCGTCTGCCCGGTGAACAGCAACGCGCGTCCAGCCACCCAACGCTGCCTGGACCGCTACAAGCTGCAGCTCTCGGACGGCGGCGGCGTGCGCTACTACCCGCAGCCGGCCTGGAACGGCAAGATCCAGCTGCGCTACCGGCTGCCCGCCGACCTCACCTGCCGCCAGTGCGTGTTCCAGTGGCGCTACGTGGCCGGCAACAACTGGGGCACCTGCGGGAACGGCACCGAGGGCATCGGCTGCGGGCCGCAGGAGGAGTTCCGAGCCTGTGCCGATGTCAGGATCGTCGACGAGGCCGGCGAGTTTGACGAGACGCGCTACGACTGGGCGGACGGTGAGCTGGGAGGCACGGTGCCGCCCTCGGACGAACGGCAGGCGCTCGTGGCGGAGACCATCGCCGCAGTGGTCCTCGGAGTGCTCGGCGCGCTCGCCTTCTTTGTCGGTGTCTGCTGCTGGGCGCTGGCGCGGCGCCGCGGCACGCGCAACAACAAGAAGAAACGCGGCGTGACGTTCGGCCGCCAGATCTTCCTCATCTCCAACCCGACGCTGACGCGCAACGGGAAGCTGTCCAAGCCGACGGCGGCCGTGTCGCCGTCCGGGCCGGTGGGCGCACCGGGCGACACCAGCGCCATCTTGGAGGTGTCGTCCAGTGACGGCAGCACGGGCTCGCGCGGAGGCGGCGCACCGCTGCAGTTCGCCGCCGACGACCAGTCGCCCGAGCCGCCGGTGGCGCCGCGCAGGAAACGGACTGCCCGATCTCCGGCCGGAGAGAAGCCGGCACAGGAGTCGGCTCAGGAGCTGGAACAGGATCCGCGGCGGGCGGGAGCGCACTTGCACATCAGCCGGCCCACCCAGGTGACCGTTAACGGTGTCTCCGTGGTGCCCGACCCGATGCCCGATGTCGTAACGCACTGAGCTCTGGTGGCGGAGAGAAGAGGCTCAAGTTCTGTCAGCGTGCGCCAGACGGTGTTGAGGTCTGTCATCGTGGCCTCAGTCGAGGAAAGCGTCCAGTCGTCATCGGTCTCGGTGATGTAGCTAGGACAGACGCAGATGAAACTCACACATGCAAAATGTAAAGCGGCGGAACAGTTGACTACGTTTGTGCGTGTGAAAAGCCCGAATAGGGCGCGAGGAATGGCATCTCTCAGGGATAGCATGAGAAGGGTTGAATATGTTTGTATTTGTAGTGGGCACGTGCAGTATACGCTGTGCACCCGGTAAGCAATAAGCAACAGTATTCTATCCAGTGAGACCCAGCTAGGGTTTTATGTCCTTAATCAATGAGAGAATTCGAAATTTCGCTTGTTGCCAGCGAACTTTCCATAATTCCAGCGTTGAAACCGCCTCGTTTTCGCGGCGTTTGCACCCCACTCGACCTTGCACTTTTTCGCACTCCATGACATGTTTTGCGATGACAAGATAACTGTTTTTTAACATGGATCAGTGATCACGATATGTAAAGGAGTCGCGAACACCGACTAAGAACGAACTTACCTTACCATGACCAAGCTAAATGTCATTCAGTTAAGAGTTACAGTTACCTACCTATCAAGCGGCTCAGCTTGACAACATATCAACCAATCCTGCCATTTTTCAGTGACTGTTTCACTTGGGGTCGTTTTTAGAATGCTTTGTCTCAGATATTATTCCATGTTTTCTCCTCCGTTATTTCTCGTCTAGGTCAGCTGCGTGCCTGGGATATCAATTAACGCGAGCGATTGAGTGCATTGGCTGAATAAGTCAGGTGCAGTGCGTATGAATGGTTTTGGCGGCCACTGGGAGATGGTACCGCACTCATATTGTACTGAGTATTGGGTCTATGGCTGTCAGAATGAGCCATTGTCGATTGCTGCAACAAAAGAACTGAACGTGAGGTATGTTTGCGTATCTACTGTCTACGGTCCATGTGTGTGTGTGTGTTTTTTTTTGCGTGCATGTGTCTTACTCATCTGCACGATGCTCACGTATTGTATGTACGCGTGAGCCCAAAAGATAAATACACATCGTTACGTACCTACTAAATAAAAAGATCGTTTGAGGATGCCGTTTGTCGGCCTGTTAGGATCCGAGCCCTACCAACGATTAAGGCAACTCATATGGCGTTGCATAGTAACAGCGGCTTTGATATCCTAAGATTAAAGGGACCCTCCCACCTTCAAAAAAGTTTATGAATTGGCATGAAAGTGATGTCGCTCGGTTCAGAAAGAGCGAAAACGAATATCTACCAAATTTCACCGAAAAATATTCACCGGTTTTCAAGATATTATACTTTTACTTTTGTTTACTTTTTTGGGAACTCTGCTGTTTCTAGCGACTTTATTTTAGAAGTGCGGCGTTTGCGGCAGATGTTGCGCGCAAATAGCATATACCACCGCGTGCTACAAAACGTTTTAGTCAAACATTTAAAAATCGTTAGATATCTGCGCTGACGTCACACATTCAGAGGGGTATTCCTAAGCATTAGCCCCTCTGAATCAAAATGCTGCAATTTTGAAATTCAATATTTCCGATTTAAGGCATTTCTCGATGTTGTGAGTGCCGAAACCGGTAATTGTGAGCCAGGGACCCCATTTTGGCTATCTCAACTCAAATCTAATGTTAAGGTGGGAGGGTCCCTTTAACCGTTGCTTATAGCCTTACCAATAAATTGCATAAAGGACACCTGTTATAAGATGTCAACCACACAAACATCGTTCACTGGCGCTACCTATGTAGTTCCACTGGCGCCGCTAGATGGCTTTAACTCGGAACGCCTGGAAGTAGGCTGTGCCGCACGACTTGAAGCTCACTGCGACTGCAGTGAGCTTCAAGTCGTGCGGCACAGCCTACTGTCTGGCCTGACATCATGATGTCCTGACATCCTGACATCATGATGTCAGGCCAGACCTGTTATCTGAGGCCCATGACCTTTGATACTGGAAAAAAATGACTGCCAGTCATCTTCTTTCCTGATCCGGGATCAGATTTGGAATCCGGGATCAATTCAAACCATAGGTATATGTACCTACATTGTACAAGCATCTGTATGATGAAAAATAAGGCTAATTTAGTTTGTCAATACACAGTAGTGTTGAGCGGCGAGGTGAAATTTTCATCACGTCCTAAAAATGATAAAGAAATTGCTCGTACCTTCCATTAAAATCAATGTACCTTTAAAAAAAAAACATTCCAAACATCTGCTTGCAATAAAGGTACGCATTATGTTGTGTTTCTTTTTTGCATTTTAACTGAACCGTGATCATTGTTCATTAGGCATTACTTTATTAATCGTAACATTGGATCATAACATTTAACATTTAAGCTATGCATAACAGCTCAACATTTAATAAGTCATATAAAATATCTAATACATTTACTAGAAATTAAATTAATCATTATTTACTAGAAATTAAAGGCGTAGATAAAACATAGGCATAAATTGCATAAGCTACTACCATCACAGGTTATCTATGCAAGAACTTTAAGAACATTGAATTATGACAAGAGTCTCATAACGCTGAAGGCTACCCTAAAACGGGACAATGACCGCTTGAGAGACAGTAAAAAACGTAACACAATTGAATGCCCAACCAAATAATGAAATAAACGTTTCACAATTAAGTGTGCCAATACACGCTCACTAGTGAAATGATGAACGCTTGAAAATAAACAAAAGCATAGATAGGAAATAGTTTCATTGAGGCACTCAGACTTCAAGACGAAAGTTCAATAACGTTGCGTTTAAATAGTGTTCCTGTTTGCTCTCAGTTTAGTCCTTTCCAGCCAACTCGCTTGCTCTCCACGTCATTTCGTCCGCCGTTCATCGTCGGTTTACTGTTGTGTGTGCCGTTTTTCGGCGCCGGTGGGAGCAGTGCCAGCGTCATCACCGCTCCCAGTGCGCCGGTCGACGGAGTGTGAGCGCTCCCACAGTGGGCACCGTGCTGAGGTCTCACATGGCGGGCGCCGCGGGGTGAGCTGAGGTCTCACAGCGGGCGCCGCACGGTGCGCTGAGGTCTCACAGCGGGCGCTGTGCTGGGGTCTCACAGGGGGCGCCGTGCTAAGGTCTCACATTGGGCGCCGCAGGGTGAGCTAAGGTCTCACAGTGGGCGCCGTGCTGGGGTCTCACAGGGGGCACCGTGCTGAGGTCTAACAGCGGGCGCCGAGCTGGGGTTTCACAATGGGCGCCGAGCTAACGTCTCACAGTGGGCGCCGTGCTGGGGTCTCACAGTGGGCGCCGCAGTCGCAGTTACCTGGTGACAATCGGCGCCGAGGCCCGGCGCCGGCCGTTGGGCGCGTGACTGCGAGCCGTAATCGCCCCCGGGCAGCCGAGTGGAGCACGGCCATTCCGGCAAACGACACTAACGTGCCGATAGCGGAGATATTGCTCTCCCCTGCAGCCGGCAGTGCGGCGGGACGGAGCGGGTATCATCCGACGCCGCTGTTTGAAGATGTGCTGATGTGGAGTGAAGGCACAAACACAACACCCGTAAGTAAACACCAGCAAGGCCAACACCAGCACAAACACACATTCCTACATTTTACACACATCCACAGTACTGTGGTACTTCTACGTCCTTGCTCAATTCCGCACAGCAAGGACGTTCGGTCCTACCTTTCGTGATCAACGTTCAGTCTTCAAGGAGCGGAGCCTGTGCTCTGTGTTGACGCTGCGCTTTTCCGGTCGTTAATTTGGAGCCGGAACTGGATTGTGGCGCATATCAGACTGCCGTCAAATTAGTGGGCCGTGCTCAGCAGCGCCTCTCGGACGGCTGGACCCTGTGACGCTTTGTGCAGCTTCTTCTTCAGGCTGCATTAATTAGCGCTAGGCCAGATTAATTAGAGAGAGAACGTTTGGTGGCTACTCAAGCTGAGACCAATTCCAGGCACTGTGCCAAAAGAACGGTGAAGTCCAAACCATTAAAGTTTAGGTATAAGGCTGTGTTTGACTTTGATGTCTCGCATTGTAACCTGATGAATCTAACAGCCTGGACGTGGAATGATACCTCACCGTTCCGCTTTGAGACAATGGTATGACTTATGAGTTTTTTGTCCCTGTAGCAGACAGTTCCTCTCTCTAACCCTCACTCTAACCCTCTCTCTCTCTCTCTCTCTCTCTCTCTCTCCCTCTCTCTCACCCACTCTAACATGAGTCGAAAGCCAGTTGACTCGGACCGCTGAGCCGGGTAAAGCCGAGCTTTGGAAACACTCGACTGAAAGCATGAAGATTGAAGGATGGGCGAAGGAGGACGTCGGCTTTCACAGTTCTATCACGGCCTTTTGGGGGTTCTGTATGTGACTTCTCCACAGGCCACGGTTACGCGGGTATTTATCTGTAGGTATAACTGACTTCCTTGACATATCCCACCTTCACAGTGCATATATGTGTATGGTATTTTATAGAGGTAGGTAAGTATCTACGTTTTCCATTTTCCCGTTTTCCATGAAGAGAGTCATGCTGGTCGCCTCTCGCACTACCACGAAATATGGTTGGATACCTCAGCTAACGCTGATGAGTTTAGTTTATCTGCACGAAGTGCTTCTGGAAGCACTCCTTGAAGTTCGTGCCAGATAAATATTGTGCACACTGCAAAGTGCACACGCCATTTGCGCCTTTACATGTCAATTCGGTCGTCAACCAGTGCGGATGTCCAATGCATGCACGATACATGATGCCCCTCTCCATGAACATAAAAATGTTTGTGGTTTGAGCTCTGGGACGTATATTAATCAAATTCCTTAAATGTGCACCGTGCTATATGGCTTGCAGTGAAGCCTCTGAGAGCAGCGTGCCGAATAATCACGCGTTCCATAATGCATCATTTAAAATTCTCGTCAAACACTAAATGCATCACATCTAGCTGCAAATGGGGCATTTTAATCTGAATGGAAAATTCGTAGAATAGTTTGATGCAGTGCTTGGGTGTTCTAAATGACAGGGCTTGATAAATGGGCTCTCACGTAACTGCAATCTAAAGAAATCGCCAACGGCCATTCGGCACATAACGCCATTATATAACTGACCGACATTCAATTGACGCTAGCTACGGATAAATCGCACACCAACAATAGCACACATGCTCACTGTCTAGTGCGAACCTCAAGATAAACACTAATTTGACAGCCTATATTCAATCAATCAGTCACTGAGCCGTAAATATTGCTACTATGAATTGAGTTTTATTTTTGAAACAGATCCTCCCCGTTAATAATTGACCGGTCGCCCGTGCCTATAATAGGCACTGACGACTGGCCACTAATTATAAACGAAACAGGCAGATTAGCGGTAACACGACAGGGACCAGATTTTTCTGTCACGCATTTGTTAAAGTCAGAGGTCACCTATGGGTCGTCGACTGTGGCGCAGAACCGTAAGTCTCCAGACTCACTCCCCAATCGATTGGCCCCTTTCAAAATAACCCACGGTGAGCTCATTCTGTCCGAGGCCAGACCTAAGGTGGCGGACATTTTCAGGACTGTGCTCGCTCTCTTGAGTAGGGTCATGGAATGCTCCATCACCTTTGATCCGTATGCTCGCGGGCCCCATCAGACCAAGGCAGTGTCTAGATCAGTCAGGGCGCTCAGCAGCCCATCTAAATTGGATAGGCTTGTATGTATGTGACTCACGTGAGTTTTTAGAAGCATCTGATTATTTATGACAAGTTGTGGGAAAATGAAAAATCAAATAACTCAAAGGCATAGATAGAATTACTGACCAAAAATACCTATTGTCCGAGTAAACACCAGCTTTCACACTGACACGAGTCTACTCGTCGAAGACCATACAACAAGCCAGCGTTCTGGCTAGCGTGAGTCAAAGATTGGTGCTCCGCCTCGAAAGTTCACTCATTCGTTCACTCAAGGACGACGCCAGTTGCCTGGCCAAACTTTACCGGCCAGCTGTAGGGCTCTCGGCGGTCCTCAAATGCGTTGGAGCGAAGGCTACGTGTC